AAACTGAAAAATCGCTCTGCATTTATTGCACGTGCAGTGTTTTGTTTCTTCAAAGCAAAACCTACTTCTCCACGTCTTCACGGGTGATTTCAATTTTTCGCTTGAACAATTCCAAAAACTGTACTGCAGTTGGTACAGGACCGGCACTCGCCACGGCCACAACGACGCCTTGCCTGGAACGGTTTCAAATAGAAGACCATGAAAATCGCTGCTGTCTCTAGCAATCAGTGATTGACCTCAAAAGCCTATGTCTTGGTATAAGGCATGGCACACCACTTACTTCAAATAATACTTAGCGAATTTGAGCTCGGCAAGGCTACCGTGGAGAACCGTATGCTCTGCTCCTTGCGGGCACCCTTAATAAAGTAAAATGTAAAATAGAACCGAGCAACTTCATAGAAACTTTTCGCCACATTTAAACCACCGTGATGGCTTTACCAGAGAATTGCCGAATCGAGGCTATCATAAGAAACAAATGGAACGGGTTTTTTTTCTTTTCCTATTCCGTCCTTGGAAGTTTCCTATTCCTGCTTTTTTCTCAAAACCCACCTGCAAGCCGCACTCCGAATTCTGAGAAGAATAGTGTCCAGAAATATGGTACCACCTCATGCGGGAACGGACGGCCCACAATTGAGTACCCGAGTAGTTGGCCTGTAACTGAATGCCTTTGAGAGGAGTTATCAGGCCCGAAACACGATCACACTGAAACTAGCCATGTGTTTGGGCCGTCTGGAAATGCTGAATATTGACTGAATCGATGTCCCACAAAGGTAATGGGGCCGCTACTGCATCACCGATTGCGTAGACCCAGTCGACGGAAGTCTGAAATTGTCGAGCATGGTAATTGCAATGATTCATTAGCTGGACTTTATTAGGTCTCACAAGCAATAATAAACAGTAACATTATAACATAGTCCTACTAGTTCTTAAAAATAGTCTACTGTTGTAAAGCTTTCCCTACTGTATACAGAGCGCCAAATCTTCTTGTACTTCTGCGCGTCTGTGTATGAGTCTGCCGCAAAATTCGGGACTACGTGAAGAATCACTTGGAAAAGCCGGGCCATGGTGTGAGAAATACACAGGAGTTAAGTGGAAGCCGCCTGATGGGTCGAGCGTGCTCTTGATTGCTGGATCTACTGCAAGGATCATTACTCTAATCAGCGATCCTGGAAATTGAAGAAGAACGATCAGATGCTCCTAATGGGTTCGCGGTAAGCGGGTGATCGTCAAATGGCTGAAGCTTGAATGAATTCCTCAAAACGGTGAAATTGGCTTTGCAGGGGATTAAGGCACTCCTGGCTGTAGTTTCAGAACACCGCTGGCCATCCTAAGTGTGCTGTTCATAGAGATCGGTGAAAGCCGCTGGTTCAAGACTGTCTCCACGGTGCCAAAATGTCGAAGCAAATCAAGAGCACTTCTAATCTACACCGATACTATCGAAATTATTTCAAATGAATCGATTGAGTTTCATGAGCGCCCTTATCCTCATCTGGTATCGAAAGCGCAAAAATGGAAATGGATCCTCCCTTCCCCCTCCCATCCCCCTCTCTCACATCTCACAACGCCAGTTTCACCCTGTAACACTATTCCAGAACGTCTCAGAAGGCAAAAGGAAGGGAACTAGCGGAGGAGGTAACAGGAAATGTAATAGGCGCATGACCACCATGATGAGTACCGAAAACTTGTAATAATTTTCCAGAACAGCCAAGAGCTCTGAAAAGGGTGAACAGAGGCAAAAGAAAGAGGGAAGGTAAGTATTGTTCAAGGCCGTCAAGTCGTGCATAGCAGGAAACGAAGATGAAATAAATTTTTTTAGCTGCTATGATCCATTCTGCTTTAAGGAAAGGCCCAGGAGCAAATTCATGTGCCATTTTCACTCTGATATGAAAGGAGGGATGCCTAGAGGACCGAAATAGGAATCTCTTTCCTCCGAGCTGCGGACGAATCTAGAAGGCAGATAGCGAAATAAGAGAATGTGAGCTGCGGAAAGGTAAAAGCACTTTAGACCAGGGTGAATAACGGTCGAGGAAATCCTCGACAGGGGGTCGTATTTGCTCCGATGAGAGTTGGGAGGGGGTCGTAATCAAAAGGTTCATCAACGGACACAACGGTGCTGCTGCCACTTATTTGCTGTCATCATTAGTTTCACAAGTGTTGTACTTAGCCTAATGCAAATAACATCTTACAAGTGGTTGTTGGTTTGGTTCGTAGTGATCAGTATGGCATAGGAAGGCAACGCGTCCTGCAAAAGAATCGTAGGGAAAGGGCAGCGAGTATCTACTCTAGAATGATGCACATGCTTCGAGAACTTAGTGGAGGAACAGCATCTTGGTAGAAAGTTCAAAACAGGCAGATTCGCAGCCTTCTTGGCATCATCAGATCCTGCAACCGCAAGCTGTCATTCATCAGAACGGGTTGGAAATCGTATGTGATTTGAATAAATGAGTGATCAGACG